AATTTGCCGCATGCTTTCATCTTTACATGAATGCATTTCCTGCAACATTCAATTAAGCTTAGGATTGCACACCAGAGATCGCCCGTATCGACATATCCTGGCTGGCAAGGATTCATTTTCAAGATTTCATTATGGAACTGTGTCACATTTTATTTAGCCACCACCCTCTCGACGGAGACTTGGGGCGCTGCCAGTCCGGGAGTTCTGCCGTGGAGTGGACAAGTGCGCTGGGCTGGCCGCCTGCAGACGGCACCGGCACTAGCAAGTGGGCCCGGCACCTCCTGGGTGGCACAGACACTACTGTACCTTCCCAGAGAGGGACCAGCCCCTCCACCCAGCAGCCATGTCGGTGTCTCCCGACACTCCAGCCACCCGTACCAGCCGCCAAACCACCGCTTACAATGATCTCTCTGATTCCACAGCGCCGGGCCTCTTCTCCGTGGGAAATGCCACTGGACGCCACTTCTTCACTCAGAGACCTGGTTCTACTTTTCCCCACTCCCCGCCATTTCGCCACTTGCCTCTATTTTGTGAGATCAAATATATCATGCAGCCCAGATCTCCTTTTGTCTCAAAAAATCTCCCCCAAAATTATAGGTTACTTTCCAATTTTCTCTTTGAGTTAAATGGGGCTGGAGAGAAGACAGGGACTCTGGCCATGTGCCTAACTTACCCGATTCAATTCCGGGCACTCCACATGGTGCCAAGCCTACCAGGAGTGATCCCTGAGCACAGAGTCAGGAGCAGCCCTGAGCACTGCTGGATGTGGCCCTCAGACAAATCAACAACAATAACAATAATAAAATGGTGAGGGGGCGGCCAGTGGCAGGGCAGAGGCCAGGAGGGGGAGGAAGCCCCCAAGGCAGCCTCACGGGGAGCCAATCTGAGGAGGGGGTGCTGGAATGCAGTGACTCAGGACCCATGGGTGGAGACGGCCCAGGGCAGTCAGTGCCCCAAGGGGCATGGCTTCTAGCACCTTCTCTGTTGGAGAAGCCTGGGGCAAAAGGCTCACCCACGATTGAGCTGGAAAGGCCCACAATCAGCTCGGAGGGTCTTTCTGCCTGGGAGGGAAAGAAGGGACGTGAGGAGGCGGCCGAGGGTCCAGGGTCCAGGGGACCCCCACTCCAGCGCCCCAAGGGGACCCCCGTTCCAGCACCCTGAGGGGACTCCCACCCCAGCACTCCTGAGGGGATTCCCACTCCAGCACCCCAAGGGGATTCCAGTTCCAGCATCCCGAGGGGACCCCTGTTCCAGCACCCCCAGGGGACCCCCGTTCCAGCACCCCGAGGGGACCCCAACTCCAGCACCCAGAGAGGACCCCCATTCCATCACCCCGAGGGGACCCCCGTTTCAGCACCCCAAGGGGAACCCCCATTCCAGCACCCCAAGGGGATTCCAGTTCCAGCACCCCGAGGGGACCCCCGTTTCAGCACCCCGAGAGGACCCCCATTCCAGCACCCCGAGGGGATTCCAGTTTCAGCACCCCAGGCAGGAACCCCCGTCTAGCAGCACTGGCCTGCATCCAGGACCAACAGCCGCACCAGGCATCCCGGGGAGAAGTGTCGGATGGGCAAGTGCACACGGAGACAAGGGAAACCACGGCAGCAGGACAGCCAGAGCTGGTGCCACCCCTGCCCGTAGCCGGGACGAGGAATCATCCCGTCCCCCACCCAAGGCCCTGGGCAGGCTGCAGGGAGTCTGTCGGCAAAACAGCCTCAGCTGTGGGCCTGCCCCAGACTTTCCATCTGGACTCCTGAGTGAAACATCGGCCAGCCAGGCTCCAGGGGCTCTCTGAGGGGCAGGCATGGCACAGGTGGCCGAGCCCAAGTTCCAGGAACCTCTCCTGGCACTAGGAGGACCGCCCAGGCACTCACGCTGGGGGACAAGCCCTCTGGGACGGGCACTCGAAATGGAGCATAGAAGGGAGCATGGAGGGGTACTCAGAGGGGAGCATGGAAGAGCACTCGGAAGGGAGCATGTAGGGGAGCACCGAGGGGCCCTTGGAGGAGCACTCGGAGGGGAGCACGGAGGGGTACTCGGAGGGGAGCATGGAGGGGAACACAGAGGGGCACTTGGAGGAGCATGTGGGGGAGCATGTAGAGGAGCACGAAGGGGCACTTGGAGGGGAGCACGGAGGGGCACTCGGAGGGGAGCACAGAGGGGAGCATGAAGGGGAGCATGGAGGGGAGCACGGAGAGGAGCACGGAGGGGAACTCGGAGGGGAGCATGGAGAGGACCACGAAGGGGAGCATGGAGGAGCACTCGGAGGGGAGAATGGAGAGGAGCACGAAGGGGAGCACTGAGAGGCACTCAGAGGAGAGCACGAAGAGGAGCATGAAGGAGCACTCAGAGGGGAGCACAAAGAGGAGCACAGAGGGGCACTCGGAGGGGAGCATGGAGGGGAACACAGAGGGGCACTTGGAGGAGCATGTGGGGGAGCATGTGGAGGAGCACGAAGGGGCACTTGGAGGGGAGCACGGAGGGGCACTCGGAGGGGAGCACAGAGGGGAGTATGAAGGGGAGCATGGAGGGGAGCACGGAGAGGAGCACGGAGGGGAACTCGGAGGGGAGGATGGAGAGGAGCGCGAAGGGGAGCACCGAGAGGCACTCAGAGGAGAGCACGAAGAGGAGCATGAAGGAGCACTCAGAGGGGAGCACAAAGAGGAGCACGGAGGGGCACTCGGAGGGGAGCACGGAGAGGAGCATGAAGGGGAGCACGGAGGGGAGCACGGAGAGGAGCACGAAGGAGCACTCAGAGGGGAGCACGGAGAGGAGCACGAAGGGGAGCATGGAGGGGCACTCGGAGTGGGGCACGGAGGGGAGCACGGCAGGGCATCTGGGTTCTGCGCATGCCACAGAGGGGGACTCACCATCTGTGCCCAGACAGCCGCCAGCTTGGGTGGGACTGCAGGAGTGACCGGGAGCAGGGCCCACTCAGCTGACCACTCTTGGCAGACACTTGACTCACGGGTGATGCCTGCCTCCGTGCTCAGCTTCGCTGGGGTCCCTCCCGCGGGGGCGGTCAGCCCGGTTCCCCCTCCTCACCCGCCCAGCCTTGGGCATGGACACAGGCCACCTGCTGGGGCCTGACCCACCGACAGGCTCTGCCACAGGCGCACGCAGCCCGGGTGAGCACCCGGCTGGCTCCTTCTGGGCACCAGAGCAGATGGCCAGTGCGAGCAGCCCCGCGCTCGCTGCAAATATTTGGAAGTGCTGCTAAATTAGTGTCAAATTGACTTCATTAGAGAAGATGTACAGTTTTATTATTTCCTCATTATGAAACTCAGGCCGAGGGCTAATAACATCGCCAGGTCCAGGTTACCTCCAGCTGCTCCATAAACAGAGGAGACTCGTGTGTAATTAGAGCGTTTAAGTTCTCAGCAGGCCCAGCGCCATGTGAGCGTCCCCGGAACCGGGCCCGGCCCCCGCCCCACCGGGCCGGATGCTTGGTGCCACGGGGCAGTGGCTAGGTCTATGCAGGTGACACATAGGGGACACAGAGCAGGCGCTGGCTGGGCGTCCGGCCTCCAGGCCCGACCAGGGGCTCTCTTTGACTCAGCAGGGGTCTGCACCTCTCCAGGACAGCAGCCGCTGGGGACACGCGTGTGTACTGGACACGCTCCCAGGTTCCTCACTGCCCAGGAGACTAAATGGCCGCACAAAGCCGCATCCCAAACTCAGGGTGTGTGTGGGTCAGGGGTTCTCCAATCTGGGAGGTCCTGAGTCCGAGTCCAGACACCAAAAGCCCATAGCAGGCGAGTGAAGAGGCCCCAGAGGGCAGAACTGTCCGGGTGACGCCTGGTCCATTAGGGGCAGAGAAGCAGAACCCAGAGGCCCAGCCTGGCGGCAGCCTCCAACCATCTGGACAAAGGCTTGTGTCCACAGGACCCAGCAGGTTTAGAGGGCTCTGCCCCGGGAATGCGGATGTGTGCCAAGTCCCGGGGGCCACAGAGCGGGCCTCCACTCGAGGGTGCCCTGCAGTCAGCCTGGGTAAGGCCAGTTTCTGTCTGTGCAGTTTAGATGAAAAAGGAGTTTCTGGTTCCAGATCACAGTGAATGGGGGCAAGGTACAACCAAAAAATGAAGTGGGTTTTTTGGTTTAAGTAAGTTTTTTTTGGGGGGGGGGTTCCCACTCGGTGATGCCCAGGGGTCACTCCCAGCTCTGCATTAAGGAATAACTTCCTGGCGGTGCTCGGGGGACGCTAAGGGATGCTGGGGATCAAACCTGGGTCGACTGCGGGCCAGGCAAATGCCCTCCCCAACTGTGCATTTTTCAAATAAGGCATCCCCTCAAACGGGGGCCAGAAGGGGGAAGGGAGGGAAGGAGAGAGAGGCGAGGGCCCAGAGGAGTGAGCCCAGAGGGAGGACAAGGTTGGTAACCACCAGTGGGACCAGCCCTGCAGAGAGGCCCCCGGCAAAACCCTGCCCCGCTGGAAGCGCACACCCGAGACTGCCCTGCAGACCTGTCCCGGGCGCCCGCTCACCCTCACATCACCAGCAGCTTCTCGGGTCTCAGTGGGGACTGAGGGCCAGGTACCATGTCTGCTCATAAGCCACACACTGGCCTGGCACGCTGGCCTCTGCTCCCTCGTCACCGTTTCTCGCCCGGGAAATTCAGACATGCCCGGGCAGCACCCAGAGAGTGAACCCAGCATGGTCATCATGGAGACGCCCCTGGGGGTGGGCGGCAGGGGACCCCCCCCCCCCAGGAAACAGCACTGAAGCCCCTGGGCATCTCTCCCCGCCCCATGGAAACTCCCTGAGAGCCAAGTTGGAAGGAGTCGGGGGGACGCAGAGGGCGGCAGGCACAAACCACCCCTCCGTGCGAGCGTCTCTTTCCCCAGATGAACCCTCGGCTGAGCCCTGGACCTCACCGAGTAGTGGATCCGTAGGGGACTCACATCTGCGCCCCCCCCGCCCCCAGCCACGGTGCAGAGACCTCGTCTGCCAGCTCCTCCCCACAGAGCCCGCGGCCGGGCACCGCGCCCAGGACTCACCCACCTCAGCGTGAAGCGATCTGCAGAGCAGTTTCGGGAGACGGAGACGGGGAAGGTGAGCACAGCCCCCGGCCGGACCGTCCGCCCTGCATAGTGGACGCTCACGTGCTCGTCCAGCTGCAGTTCAAGCAGGGGCGGCTGGCCGGGGCTCGGGGACAGGAAGATGCTACCAATCCGCTGCAGGGGCGGCCCCGACTCGTCCATGTCGCCATGGCCCCCACGGGAGCCACTGTCCCCCCTGGGCTCAGGCCAGGCGCAGTCGGCCCGCGGCTCCCCGGCCGGCAGGCTGTAGTAGAGCTCCACGGGGCTGCCCTCGGCGGGCTCGGCCGCCGGCTTCTTCCTGCCGGCCGGCGCCGTCGGGGGGCTGAACCAGCCGGCTGGCAGGTCCAGCCGCGCCACGCAGAGCCCCAGCTCGCCCCGGAGCCGGCAGCTGCCACGCACCGCCTGCGTCTCCCGGAAGGCGAAGACGCGCACGCAGGGCAGCCGCGAGGCCCCGGGGTCCGGCTCGGCCCAGTCCCGGCCCAGCGCGTGGAACAGCACGTGTGCGCGCGGCCGGCCGCGGTGGATCCGCTCCTGCAGGACGTGGGCGCGCAGCCGCCAGCCTGGCGATGGCGGCAGGAGCTCGGGGGGCACCTCCTGCTCTGCGGAGAAGGGTCCATAGCTGGCGCGAAGCACGGGCGGGCGCCGCGCCCGGTAGACCAGGAAGGACTCCACGCGAGACTGCAGGCTGGAGTTCCGCATGATGTCCTGGTTGGCTTCCTTCAGGAAGAAGGCCCCGTCGGCGTGCTGGACACGGAAGGCCACGGGCAGGTAGGTGGGCAGCAGTGAGAACCGCTGGACACTCTCCAGGGGGCTGCGGCTGTACGTCACTGCGGGGAAGGGAGGCGGTTAGCAAGGGGGCTCGGCAGGGCTCCCGGCAGGGGTGCTGCAGGGCCCGCCCGCCTCCCCCCTGCCCATGTGGCCACGTGCTGCCTCTCCTGGTCCATCATGGCACCTGGTACAACCACCACAGGCCAACAGGAGCCACGCCAACCCCGTCTACCCGGGGCAGGCGAGACAAAGCAGTGATGCCACATCAGGTGGCCATGGTGCCTCGGGCGTGGGGACGGGTCTACATGGGTATCACGGAAATGCGCCCAGAGGGCTGAGGCCCGACACGAGCCGGATGGAGAGGGCAGAGGCACCCCTGTCTGTCCCGGGCCACCCTGGGCAGCGGAGGGTGAAGGGCTCCAGGCAGAGTCAAGAGACCCCAGGGACACGGACGCCCCTCACCACTGTGGGAGAAACAGCCCCCCAGGACACTTGGGGAGGAGGCCCCAGACTATGGGCCCAGGGCAGTGGACAGCTGCAGCGTAGAGTGGACAGCTCCTGCTCGGCCCCCACCGTCCCACTGTGTTGTCCAGGGAAACGTGAGTGAGTCGGGGGCTGGCCCAGCCCAGACCCTGAGTCCCGGCCTGGGGGAAGCTGGCCACAGGTTTAGGGGCCCACTGCACCGGGCTCTCCCCGGGCAACTGAGTGGACGGGGGACGTCTCACTCTCTCCCACTGACCCCCATTCGGCTCAGCACGGCAGGACTCCCCAGGGCTCCCCAGATCCCCCGTGTCCCCTCACCAAGGTGGTCAGGGGCCTCCCTCAGCGCTGCCGGGTGTGGGAGAACAAGCAGAGCCATGGGGCCAGGGGCAGGGGAGGTCCACAGTGCGCTGAGGCCGAGAAGGACCTCGTGGCCGGGCCCAGGCGATGGCGGGGCTCAGAGGCTGCAGACACTGAGCTAGGCTGGGCACGGAGGGCCAGAGCATCCACAGTGCTCGCAGCCAGGGCCAGAACACGGCAGGATTAACAGGACGAGATTTAAAGTGATTTGGGAGTTAGAAACCTGATTTGTGGAGGCAGAATCAAATTTCTCCTGAGAAGCCCTTTCAACACTGTCCCGAGAGCTAAGTGGGGGGTGGGAGAAAGGAAAAGCCTTAAACGGGGCCACACGAGAGCCAGAAACGGGCCAGCCTCCCAGGGAAGGTTCCAGAAGAACGCAGCCCTGTTAGGGGGCTGGACTTTGGAGGTCCACGTGGGGCAGGGCCATGGGGATGGACATGGTGGTGCCCGGACGCCACCTCCACCCCTGCCCGCTCCCCAGCCTCGGGCTGGCCCCAGCGGGTCTCCAGGTGCCATTTGGGGGCCGCACTCGGCAGCTCGGCCTCAGCCCCTGGCAGCGTCTGAGCTGGATGAGCCACGGTCTCAGAGCGGGGGGACCCGGACACTCCCCTGCAAGGGGCATCCAGCCCACAACCAGCCTCTGCACCCCCCCACCCCGCATTCCAGCAAGCCCCGGACGGAAGGAGCAGCTGAGCGTGCCCACCCCACACTCAGGGCGCGGTGCCCGTCATGCCGTGTCTGTCCTGGGCAGCAGAAGGTGGACAGGGGAGTTGGGCCAACACCTCCTGGGCTGCGGGGCAGGTGCGGGGGCTTGGCTGGTGCCACAGGGCTGGGGTGACTCACGCGGATGCCATGGGGTGGTTGCCACGGGGCGGGTGTGGGGACTCCGGCACCAGGGCTGGTGCTCGCTCGCTGGTGGGTCAGGACAAAGGGTCAGGGCTGAACTGAGCTGGACGGGGAGGGACAGCAGAGGCAGCATCTGGGTGTGCGAGCATGTGCCTACATTTGTCCCAGGACATACTTCCGGCCGTCTCTGCGTCTCTGACTAATATCAATGCTGACAAGCGAAGAGGAGGCGGCTCCCCGCAGCGCTGAAGGACAGGACTCCCACCCCCGCCCCAAACAAGGGACAGACACTGAGGAGAAAGCACCCAGTGCAGAAGTGGCCGGGGCGGGCACCGGCAGTACAGAAGGTTCTGGAAACCAGGACAGAAATAAACTGTTTTCTTTAAAGCATTGTCAGAGACAGAATTCACATCTAATAATATTTCCTCTTATTTCTCAATCCATTTGCCTCAAAACAAATTCTGCTTCTGGGGTGAGAACAGCACATTTTCACTCTTCAATGGGACTGATGATAATTAAAGGGCTGTCCACGCAGGGAGCTGCCAGGGACGGCTTCTGGAACCTTCTCCCTCCTGCCTCTCACTACCAGGCACGCAGCAGGAGTCAAGACTGGCCGCCATGCTGCAGAGCCTGGGGCAGAGGCAGTGGCTGGGGGCTGGCCTGGGGCTCGTCTCCTGGGCGCTGGGTCCCAGCGGGGGAGGAAGGGCATTGCAAATATTTTCTCACCTCATCATTCCAAAGTTGCCATGACAGGCTGGAGCGCACTTGTGGCTGGGGGGGTGGGGGGGGACAGGAAGAACGTGTTCTGGAAGATTCCAAGAGGAAGCAGCCAGTCCCGGGAGACTGGGAGCACTCGGGCGGGGAGCACTCAGGTGGGGAGCACTCAGGCAGGGAGCACTCAGGTGGGGCCCAGGCTGAGGGGGAGTAGGGCCCTCCTGGGCTCCTTTGCAAGCCCGCCCCACCCGTGGCAGGTGCTGACGCCTGGAGGGACCCCAGAGGCTGCTCTGTTCACCCTCAGGTCAGTCTCCACATGAGACCAGAGACGGGGACGCCGCTCACTGTCTGAGCCATAGCTTCCCTCCAGGTCCCATGGGCGGTGGGACCCAAAGCCCTGGCAGCACCCTTGGGACCAGCCCCAGCTCGCCAGGCCCATTTTCCCTCCGCTCGGCTGCCCCTCCCCAAACCCCTCCCCAGGTGTGCTGACCTCGAGGCAGGAAGGAGCGGTCAGTGGCAGCTGAACCCCACCCGCCCCACCCACGCTATCTCCGGGACCTTCTGCGTTTTCACCGTCTTGGCCCAGAGCAGCCAGGGGGCTCAAGCGCTGACCCCTCCCCTGTGAGCGGCCACAGATACGGCCACATTGCGGCAGCCGCTGTGTGACTCGGATCTGTGAGAAATCAGAAAGAATCATTTCCCCCTCCATCTAATCCAATTGATTTAAGGAAGAATGGTTTTCTTAGATGCCTTCCAAATGTGCTCCAAATCACAAAGAGATTCCAGCAAAGGCATTGCAGCCCAATCCTGGACTTACACAAATCAGTAGGCACATTTATTTAAACAATTTAGGGTAATTTGAAATGCTTTCTTTTGCCTGAAAAATACGGGAGGCTGACAAGTTAATTGAGGGAAGACAGACACACTCGCACACAACCGCAGGGACTCGGCGTGGGGAGCCAGCGCACTCACACCCACCCACTCCTACAGGAGATGAGGGGGTCCCGGCTGCATGTCCGTGGGCAGCAAGGGCACAGCTGCCACAGAGGGGCACCCCGGGAACTGGGAACACCTGCAGAGCTGGAATCCGCTGGCAAACCCCTCGACGCCCTGACGCCCCCTGACGCTTCTCCCTTTTGCCCCTGACCTGGGTGCCACAGGGCTTCTTTCCTGTCACCTGCAAGAAGCACCACGGCTTCAGTGAGGGAGACCAGCTGCCTCCCCTTCCTCCCCACAGAAGTGTAACTGTCCTTGCAGAATGCTGTGTGTGCCCATGTGTGTGCAGGTGTGTGTATAGGTATCTGAGTAAGCAGGTGTATGTGAGGTGTGTGTGCAGGTATGTGCACGCATTTTTGTATGCAGTAGGTGTGTGTGCATGTCGGTATGTGTGTGCATGTGTGTGTACAGGTGTGTGTGCAGGTATGAGATGTGTATGCAGGTGTGTGTGCAGGTGTGCATGTCGGTGTGCGTGCAGGTGTACACGAGGTGTGTGTGCAGGTTTGCACGCAGATGTGTATGCAAGTGTGTTTGTGTACATGCAGGTGCATGTGTGGGTGTGTGTGCATGCAGGTATACATGCAGGTGCCTATACAGATGTGTGTGTGCAGATGTGTGCAGGTGTGTGCGCAAGTGTGCATGCAGGCATATTTGAGTGGGTGCCTAATTTGTGTGCAGGTGTGTGTACACAGGTATGTGTGCAGGGTGTGTGTGCGGGTGTGTTTGTGCAGATATGCATGCAGATGTGTGTGCAGGTGTATGTACACAGGTGTGCGTGCAGGTATGCATGCAGGTGAGCAAGTATGTGTGTGTGGGGGTGTGTGCAGGTATATGTACGCATCTATATGTGTGGGTCTATGTGTGGGGTGTATGTGCAGGTACATGCAGGCATATTTAAGTGTGTGCATGCAGGCTGTGTGCCTGTTTTATGTGCAGGCATGTGTGCGTGTGTGCGCGCACAGTCACACAGTCTTGTTGTCTCCCCCTTGCCATGGGAGCCAGCCGCTCAGAGAGACAGCAACTGCCCAGTACGACCCCCTCTCAGCAGAGGTGGCTCCATACGTGGGGCCGGACAGGGCTGTGGAACGTCCTGAGCAGCCTGGGAGGGCCATGGGTGGGGGAAGGGCCGTGTCGCACCTTTGTGTGCAGAGCAGAGCCTGGCACAGGTAGGACCCCGCCTGCGATGGCCACTGCTCCACCACTCACCGCCACACCCTGGCAGGGCCCTTGGCCTCAGAGCAGACCCTGAGGGGCAGGGAGGTGGTCCTGCAGCCAGGAGCACCCGAGGCCCTGGGGACCGACTTCCAGGTCCACTGGGGACACATCCAGCTGTCGCCCCCCAATTTCCTAGGCTCAAAGCCACGACGGGCACCTGTCAGGCTCTGGTGGTCAGCGGAAGCGGCTGCTGGACAGGACACACCCTGCAGGCTCAGCCCGGGGCCCGACTGGCCCGCTGGCTCGGCTCCCTCAGGAACGGCTCGGCTGTGTTCCAAGCTGCTCTGGGGAGGAAACAGGTTTACCATTTCCTCGGGCAGAGAACGGCCCGGCAACCCCAGCCACGCACGGGGAAAGGTCGCCCGAGTGACTTGTCAGCTTGTAGCTGCGTTTCCCATAATAGGTTTCAGAAAACTCCTCCACCCAGGGAGGGAAAAAGGCAGCCTCC